GAGGCCCGATTATTGCAAATCTTGTAACCAGTGCCTTGCTCCTTAATGGTTTGACATTTCATTTGAAATGCAGAAATATTCTGGGTTCTTTTATCTATCAGAGTTCCAATGGTTTGTTTCCTTATACAGTTTCAATTTTACATCTTTCTTTAGTTAAATCTTGTACCCTTTTGATAAACTTAACGCATAACTCAGAGTCTTAAACTTCCCTCTTTACTATTGTCAAGATTTTGAAGCACATAGAACGCAATACCTTTCTTCATGCTGCAGCATTTGAATTTTTCAATGCAGTAAACGTGCTCACAACCGCCTTTATAGATTCCAGTCATGTAATAGCCATCCCGTTTACATTCGCTCCAACCTTTCTTGTCGAACGAAATGCCAACATCCTCATCGTAACAGTCATCATAAGCGTTCGGATGATTCTGTGGACGACAGCACTTGGACTCTTCGATGTTGTAAATATTTGTTGGATCGCTGATATAGATGCCCTCCATGTAATAGCCAGCAGGACACAGAGCCCAAACATTTTTTCTGAAAAAGAGAAGTGAAAAGGAAAAACCTAGGTTATAGAACAACTGAAATAGTGCTCAAACTTACTTTAATACCTCTACGCTATGGAAAGGATATCCGTGTTTTTGTAACCTGGTAGACCGTTATACTTCGAGCATTATTTTTGGATAGAGCTTCACTGGTTTATTTTAAAAGCCTAAATACGGCAAAACATAAGAGAGGACATTCTATTATGCGCTGAACAATTCGAATCTTCAACATCCCTCCCCCCCACCCTCAGGCAACCAACGGACATTCGACCGTTGTCCGTGCTCGTGGGGGTGAGGAAATTGATTAGAAAGTGTCAAATCTTTCCAGCGAAATACAAGGGTTATATCTTCAAATATGCCGAGGTGTTTAGGGTAAATAGTTCACTTGTGCGAGTGAATCGCTCAGGAGAAAAGCGGGTCTACAAGGTCTACGTTTTCAGGTTTGGTCCATGTGTAGAAACTCACGGTCACTGATTTTGCCTCTTACGAATAAATTAGGCGGGGCATTTGGGCACAATTTTTGCCCCGGGTGACAGGTATTTAAAAAATCTATCCTCGCAATTTCAAATGCCCCGGGGGGTCGCCCGGAGGGATTTTGAAGCTTCGAATTCATCGAAGCATTACTTTCCATCAGAAAAGTTTAGAAAGCCAGAGTTTTGAAAGCCCTGTGATATTCAACCAGCACGACTCACCCGTCTAATGCCTTCCACCAGTTTGCGTTTGTGCAAGTTGACGGTTGATTAGCATAACTTGGTTCCTTAGCTCCGCAGCATTTTCCTTCCTCGATAAGCCAAAGGCCGTTGTTCCCCGATGGATCATTTCGCCAGAGTCCTTTGAGGAAAGTACGATCATTTGGACATACAGACCAACCTTTCTTGTCAAGACTTTTCCACCAATTTGCTGTGTCACAGCTCAGAATGGCGTCAGGTTGAATTATCAGCAGCATGCTGATAAAGTAAAGTGCGAGCCCAAACTTCATCCTGTAAAAAACCTTCTTTCAGGCAACCAAAGCGCAGATTAAAACGCTGGAGATCCGAAAGTTTGAAAAAAAAGGTCAAGTGGTTACAGGATTGCAATTTCGTCTGTCAATGTTATCGTAAGAAAGGGTAAATGGTTTGGTCGTCCCAAAATCTACAGAGAAAGATGAAAATAAGACCAGCCGTTTCCGAAAAGACGTGCTTGAGATACGCGATACCTCTTATAGCCGCAAACGCTAATCACTCGTATTTCAAACTTTACTAGAACAAACTTGACACATTGTTGAATACGGTAACTGAAAATGACAAAATTACAATCACGCGAATGAGCATAAAGTAACTTACATCGTATGAGTGAAAGTACCGGAAAACGACAAAGCGAAATAAACAAGGATACTTACAAGACGAATGTGACCAAACCAAAGACGAAAACATGAGACTCAGAGCTAGATATGTAACGGTAATTTTCACAAACTAGACAACTAACCAAATAAATTACGCGCAACCAATATATATACGATATGCAAATAAATATGACAAGTACAAAACTGGTAACTGACAAAGGACACTAATGGAAGACGAGAAAATAAACACCTAACACGAAACTATGAAACACCAACACTAACAAAAAATGGTAATACAAATTCTTGCGCCTACACCTCTTCATGTTTCTTCTTTCAAAAGTAATAAAAAAGCAACTCTTCATTAAAGTGATAACTTTTCCTAAAACCATTTCTCTAATTAAAAGATAAAGACAAATTGGTTAAGTTGCCCAAATCATTTTAAAAAATTGTGATATCTATCTGCCAAGATTATGTTGTATTTGTGCTCAGGCCTGAATGCCCCGTGAAATCTATACCCTAATCAAATATTGGAGTTTTCAGTTTAATTCGAACATCTATCCTCTTTTCCTTTGTTGAGCATAATTTCACTTACATCAAAAGAATAAAAGTAACGAGAGAAGAGTGAGCGTACAAGAAAAAAAAACATAAATGTATCCAATAAAATTTCACTATGCGACTCTTCTCGTAAGAGCCAAATGCATTTAGGAAAGCTGACAGGAAGAGCATAAAATAACTAACAGAACATTTTCAATGGATAAATGGAAAGTACTGAAAATTTCTCTTACCTTTCTGCAAAAGGACCCGAATTTTGTCAGGAATGCCAAGGAATAAAAGGGAATCCTTCTCTTCCTGCTTCAAACTCAAAACTGTTTGGTAGGGGTTGAGTATGTAGTTATTATCTTATTGGTAGTTGGGATGCGTCTCATTTTTTCTGAAGCAATACCGTTCCCCAGCACTAGGGCATCAGAATAATTTCATGCATAAGAATCATGATGTTAAGGGCAGGGAATTTCTTGAGAGGAAGGGCCCTTTTGAAAACTTTATAATTAAAAGCTAGAAAAGCCATTTCTGGGGCCTTCATGAAAAGCATTCCCTCTTTCTTTGTAATATCAACTTATGTAAACCCAGATCGTTAAAAAGATGGAAAGACGCTAAGATTTTAACCAGAATAAAAATGCTCATTTGCTCTCTAGCTTTTTTTAAAATTATTTATTCATATATATATATATATATATATATGAATAAATAGTGATGTGAGCGTGGTCAGCATTAGATTCCATCCACCAAAACCACCTTGGTCGAGAGGGACTGAGATAGAATGATGGAAAAAAATTACGAAGCTACGACAACATGCCGACTTATCCCGATGACCCAAGTGTATTATTTGTTTGGGAAATTGCGTTAAAACTTTTTACTAAAGAAATGGTAAGTATTAATTTATTGTTCGATTGTAGTATTATAAAACATTTTACGCAATTTTATGCAGATATTTCACGTATTTAAAAGGTGCTTAGATGTTACGTAGTTTTGGTGGATGTCATTAGGGAACATCCACCAAAACTTTGACCAAAACCATCAACAATATATTTTTTAAATTTTATCTATAGCCATTGTTAGATGTTCAGGGAGACAAAAGATTTATACCACTAATTAGCAGTTAGTGCTCTGGCTAATTATTTCTTATGGTGCACAATTGCTGACCGACCAAACGTTCATAATGATTATCATAACTCTTAACACATAGAATAAAGTGGTTTTGGTGGATGTTTCTCTCCATCCACCAAAACCACCACAGAAATTTCTGCTACTTCCTTACAGAAGACTGATGTGACCTGCTATTTGGAGTACATAACCACAATCTATTTCTTTGTATGTAGAGATATTTTGGAAAGTTCTTGAGTCAGCACCTTTTATTATTGAAACCATAATCATAACATGGTGCATAATATAGAATACAAAAGGTTCTGGTGTGGTAATCATGTAATCTTGAAACAGGAGAGTTTTTAACTGACTTAAACTGATTTAAACAAACATTTGCAACAAAATTCCAGGTCCAGAAATTTCTTCCACTATTTCCGCTAAAATCATAACCTTTAAGTACAACAAATCAGCACATTAGTAATTGTTATCAGGGGTCTGAAAATCCTATAAATCTTTCACATTTATTTCAAGTAACCTTTAATTTCACATGGATGAATAAGTCTACACTCAAGATGCAGAATGTCTTACAGTTTACAAACTATTTCCCTTTTTATGGATAGACAGTGAAAGGCCTTTGCCACATTGGTGAATCAAACCATTGTATACCATGCATTTTGTGATAATTGTTTGTTTTAGCTCACAATACCCAGAAAAATGGAGGGGATAAATTTAAATAGCAAATTCTATGGTTAAAATTAAATAACATTGGAAGATCAAATTAACTTTGTACTGTTTAAAATTCAGTTTTGGTTTCTTGCTTATTCCAGCCTCTTGATATTCAAAAGCATTCCTTGTCATTTTTGTGTTCTTCTGTGTACATAACTTGAAAAATAAACACAGAGAAAGGAAACCACAAAGGATTAAACTTGAAGCTTTTTCTTTGTGGTCCCTAATTGATGATTAGTATATTACAGCTCCTCAATTTTCCTCTCTCAAGACAAGGTTACTCTAAATTTAACAAAGTAATGGACTTGATAAAACTCAAACTATAACTCAGCTGGCTGCTACTTGCAACCTTAATTTCTTGATACCAGTATACAATAATCAATATGTTATAAATAAGAACCCTAATGCTTAATTTAGCAGTGATCACCCTCCTCCTTTTCATTTGCAGACCAGACTGGAACCTATATAGGTGTGTTTGCTTGTTTTGAGTGGGGATGGAAGAAAAGGAGTCATGCCGCATATCTGATTTATTAAACCGGATTTGTTCTGTTTATACATGAGTAGAACTACCTTGTTCTCTGAAAAAAGTAAAATTTCTCGCATTTTTATCTGTGCTTTGCATTCAAACTTCCTTGTGTCTTGGACAAGAAATCTTATTTTCTTGAAAACAAAATCTTTGTTTTCGGCCTTCTGTAATAGGTAAATATAACAGTGTAAGATGAGTGACAGTGTATTTCCCAAGTTATTTTTTGGAATGTGACAAAACGGAA